CCCACTCCTTGATACCAAAGCTCATGTACGTCCCGTCCTTCAACCAAAAGATGACATCCTCACCCGTCTTGCCTGGCTCTACGCCCTCACTACGCAGACTTTGCTTCTGCTGCTTATTTGTGCCCGTAGCCTCGAGGGTGGTTCCTTTTACTACACGGATAAACAGGGGCAGCGCATATTTGGGGAGCCCAGCCTTGACATGATCCGCCAGGCTCTTTAGCGCCTCCTCGCTTGGAAGCCCACCCTCGCCAGCAAGCACTGACGGTTCCAGAACCACCGCAGCACATCCGGCACGACCCTCGTGCTCTGGTAGCTCAACGCCGTACACATTGGACTCCAAGACGGCGTGATGCAAGCCAACGACCTGTGCAACCTCAGCGGTTGACACGTTTTCGCTCTTCCATCGGAAAGTGTCGCCGATGCGGTCGGTAAAGAAGAGGCGATTCTCGTTATCCTGTCGGACAATATCACCGGTTCGGAACCAGGCATCATCCTTACTAAATACCGACCTCATGATCTTCTTGGTAGTCGCACCCTGGTCTCCATAGTAGCCCTGGAAACGGGTGTTGATATTCTTGGGCGGTAGCTTGAACAAAAGCTCGCCGGGCTCTCCACGACGCGCACGGCGGCCAAATCCCGTTTTGGGGTCGCGCTCCGGTAATTCGGTTTCGTGGCCGACGTGAACGATGGCGAAGCTCCCACCGAGAAGCAAGTTATACAGTGAGCCGTTGCGTCCCACCGCGCCCATGCTGAGGTCGTTCCGGCTCACATTCCAGGTGGCGAAGGTACCCTCAGTTGCGCCGTAGAACTCGGCAATAGTGTCGATACCGAAACGCCCCTTGAACCGATTCCACACGTCAGGCCGCATGCCATTTCCGAACGCAACGCGCACGTCATGCTTCTTGTCGAGGTTCTCGCCGGTGACAGGGTCAAGTGCGGGTGGCGCCGAGAGAAGATATCGACATGTCTCGCCTACGTACTGGATGGTATTGGCCTTGTGCTTTCGGACGTCTTCCCAAAAATGGCTGGTGGAAAATTTGCGGCTCATAGCAAACGTCGCGCCTATTGCCAGGGTATGGACAAAACCTAACAACATCGCCGTGCTGTGATACAGAGGCATTGCCTATGTAGATGTTAGTCGCTGAGTCCTGAAAGGTAATTTGAGACCGCAAAAATGGTCAGGGGCTAGAATTTGCATGCCGGACCAAGTTCGATGGTATCTAGTCGCACTGAGCTTTAAACTTACGGTGTAGTAGACATCGCCTGGCTTGGTCCCGATCAGCCTCGCAGTAAATCCGCTGACGACCGTGGCCTTTGCCCAGGACACAATGGCAGCCTTTGGCAGCCCAGTGGTTCCGCTGGTGTAGATCAGCATCCCCATGTCATCTCCCTTGGCATCGTTCCGTAGATCGTCTGAAGGCCGGATGGGCTCCATGGCCAACATTTGTGCCTCCAGCTCGGGCGTCACAACCTCGAAGTTGACATCGTTCAGCTCTGACCGCACGTCGTCTCCAACATTTACGGCAACTACCGGATCTACAAGGACCAGCCGTGAGGATGTCCTCTTCATGCAGTGCACCAGTATCTTGCCGCTGAGATTATAGTTGATCAAGGCGGGAACGGCTCCGAGCGACCAGACGGCGAAGAGGAGGAAGATGAAGGAATCCGTGTTCTGAAAGTCTAATGCGACCAGCTCGCCTTTTTTTACTCCACGCTTCTCCTGGAGCCAATTCGAATAGCGCAGCACAGTGTCGTACGCCTGGGCATAGGTGTAGACTTTATCCTCGAAGCGGAGGAAGACGCGGTTCTCGGACGCCTTGGAGGTTGCCCAAGACTCAAGACGGTAGAAGATATTCAAGCGGCCGCGGGCCTCCCACCATGTCGAGCTGAGGACTGTTGGGAGAATTGAGCCGAGAAGTCCGAGGTCGTACGAGACCAGGCATCGCGCGTTGATATAAGCTGCGGCGGCCGCGAGGGCAGGGCCGGCGAGGGAGAGGGGGATCGGAACTGACAGAGAGCACTGGGTTAGCTGGTGGTTCAAAAGCTCGTCTCCCTGAATCGAGGAGGGGACTTACGGGCGGCCATCTTGGTACTTCCTCTTTGGGAGACGGGAGAGAGGGTGGCTTGGTCAAGGGGCAGCAGGAGAATAAGAGTGGTGCAAAGTCGCGCTCATGACTTATTTATCTAGTGTAGCCTTCACGGCGGTGGGCGAGCTAGCAGAAAACGGTCGTACAATGGTGTCCGAGGTTCCGCGCTGGGCAGTGGTGGATCGCGACTGACGGGAGTGGAGGATTCCAATTGCGACGGCCAAGCCCATCGTGTGTCTGATGGGTGTCTCCTCTACTTAGCGGCACCATTTCAGATCGCGCGACAGGTGCTTGCCTCGGCTGCCACTGGTGACTGCACGGGCCAAGCACCACTTCGAGGCCATCCGCATGGCAGGCGCGGATCAAGATCAGACTGGATTGGGCCAGGAACAGCGCGGGAGGCCGGGTGGGCCGCCATAGTGCAGGGCTTGGCAGCTGCAGCGCCTGGTACCACCTGGTACTTACGGATACATGGAGCACAGGAAGTTTCCCGTCAAGGTATTGTTGGCTATTATTGTGGTGTGCTGCAGGTCATATAGCGGCCGAATAAAAATGCAATAAGCCATAGTATAAAAGTGTTACTTAACGACTACGGAGAAATGCTGAGTGGAAAGCCGCGAAGTGGTTGCTAGATACGGATGGCATTGCTGATGCTGCCAACCCTCACATGTGAAGGCCAGGCCGCTTATTTAGTACTTCCATTTGCACGTGATAGAAGCGCTAACTGGTTCGGGCACTGCAGCGACGTCGCGCTGTCAAGTTGAGCCGTGTCGTTACCTAAGGTAAGTGGGCGTCCTCCATGCTGCGCGTCAAGACAAAGACGCCATGTCTGCTCGACGACCACTAGATACTGGCGCGCTGGGCGGCGCCAGCAGCTCGAAAAATACTACCGATGCGGTGATATCGGACAATGCAGCCCCCTGTGCTGTTGCGGACGAACCATCGTCGGCGCGGAAGCAACCGCCGCCAGAGAAGGCATCTGATGTTCGTCGACGGACCTATGTCATTGTCTCCTTCTGGCTGATCGTACTCCTTCTTGGCTTGCCGATATGGTGGAGGACAACGACCATACACCGTGCCAATCTGCCCCTGGATGAGATGCTTGACTGGGCCGACGGAAAAGTATGCGACCCCGGCGATGCATCGTGTTCTCCGACTTGACTTGCTGACACTGTCTTGCGCAGGCCTGCCGCCCTGTGTTTCCTCTGCGCATTTCCATACGGGCCAATTCCCTCCAGGAACAGGAGGCGCAGAATCTCCTCCGCCTTACCCAGCACGCCCTTGACGACCTCAATGATTTCTCTGGCCACCACCTCCGCCTGCAACTGTCTCCGCCAGCGGCCGAGGAGACCCACAATGGCGACGATGGTGCAGCCCTGACGATTCGCCTCATCCCGGGAGAGTCGACGACCTCAACCCTCGATCCATATGCTCCGGTCCTCGACATTACCTACCCTCCTAATTCGATCCCCTCGCCGACGTCTTCCTCCTCCTCACTCGCTACCTACGTCGCTGGCCAACTACGCTCCACGTTTGCCGAAGAGCAAGCCATCATCAGCTTCTTGCTATCTAACAACTCCATACCATCTGAGCACCGTCCCCAAGGCCTGACTCCAGAAGCTGCTGAGTCGCTTTCGAAGCGCACTACGAGGTCGCTCAAATATGCACCGACATACCACCTCACATTCTCCCTTTTCACGAGCGGGCCTCTGCCGAGCAGCTGGGACATCGAGGCGGCCATCGACGAGTTTATGAAGCCAGTGCTCAATGTTCTTACTCCGATTCACAATTTCACGATTGACACTCAGGTGCAGCTATATGCAAGCCCTGGAGTGCAGAGTCAGATCCTCAGCAAGGAGGACCTCTCCTCCTTTATCAATGCTGCCGAATGGCCGCTTTCGCCCTCGATTGGCGGCGCCCCGACGATCAACTTCATCGTGTTTGTCGGGAACCAAACCATTCTAGCCGCCCCTCGGGAACCCCCCAAAACGGAGGACGGACTGTCAACTTCTCAATCGTGGCTGGTACCCCAGTGGGGCACTGTATATCTGCTCTCTCTGCCTTCTGACACGACCCATGTCTCTGCGGCCACGCTTCGGCAACCACTGTTAACGTTTACCTCACATCTTTTGTCTCTTACGGGAACTCCGCAGTCTGGATCTCTTCCCTTGCGCCTCTCGACACTCGCGCGTATTCGGTCAGCCGATCTACTGCTCCGTGCCTCATCCACCCTAGGCTCACTTGCTCGACTTGCGCTGGCGCTTCCATCTATCTCAATCCCCGGGAGTGTGGCAGACGGAGTGTCGAAGACCATGACACATCTCCGCCTAGCGTGCGAGACGCTGGGTGGTCCCGAAGGGCTGGCGCATGCACGAATTGCTGAGGCAGAAGCGGAGCGGGCGTTCTTTGAAAAGAGCATGGTTGGCCAGCTCTACTTTCCTGATGAGCATAAACTGGCCGTGTACCTGCCCCTTCTAGGGCCGGTGGGCGTCCCGCTGCTAATGGGACTGTTGAATGAGATCAAGGCCTGGAGGAAGCGGAGGAGGGAGCGGGCTGAGCGAGGGGCTGAGAAGAAAAAAGAGTAATGCATGGATTCCGCAGGTCAAATGGGGGGGGTTATTGTCGATGGCGTTGAGGAAAACGGTTTTGTTCATGCTGCATTGTGGGGCGGTTATTCCAGCGGAAATGATTGCTTAGGATGAAACAAAATAAACATCTTTACTTACTGGTTACCCCTTGGGACTATTCCGCTGCTCCATACTTATCATAGGGGGTAGGTACATGTAGATAGGTTGGGCAGCGAAAAGAGCACCGCAACTTTGGCTTGGTGGAGGGGTTTCAATCCTAGGCTTCGTTACAGGTCCCCGCACCCGTGATGTTGCAGTCTTTGCGACTCGTCCTCAACAAATCCCGGCGGGTTTAGCTCAGTTGGGAGAGCGTCAGACTGAAGTCACACTTCATCATGTAATCTGAAGGTCATGTGTTCGATCCACATAAACCGCACACTTTCTTTTTTTGCATTCGCTCTTTCACATGGCAAGAGCGAACCAGTGCTTTCTAAAGGTTGGGGAGCAATTAATCTGTCTCGTAATTCTTGGACAGTGAGAGTGCGGTCAATTCCTAGCCCAACACGGTAACTACTTCCACAAGGGATCACTTTCACAGACCCACTGCCGCCACCATATGTCCTGTTGTTTCCCTAGGACAAAATGACTCCCCTCTTTTCTTTGCCCCACTACAACTTTCTCCTCTTCATCCTGACAGGAACTGCTCTGTCCGGGGGCAGCGCACCCGCAGGGAAGAAGGCCTGGTCAGGCTTCGCTTTGCGCGCAGTATCAGGATCCAGTAGCTCCATCTCAAACTTCTGCATTAGAACCGCGACGGCGGCTATCATTTCCTGTTTGGCAAAGAATCGCCCTGGGCAGATCTTGCTGCCGCCGCCGTATGGGTAGAAGTGTCCCTGTACGCCTGCCGTGGTCACCTTCGCCTTCTTGTCGTCCTCGATCGATTTGGGTTTGCCCTCAGCAGATCGATAAACACTTTCATCCTTGCGGGTGGGTCCGCTGACCGGATCGTCAGGGTATTCGAGGAAGCGCTCGGCCCAGAATGAATCGACAGGATGCTCTGGCCGTCCAGACGACGCAGCGACACGGCCAGTGTTCCAAAAGCCCGTGTCTCGCCCGCCATACCAGGGGTTCGAGATGAGCAACGAGCCGAGCTCCATTTTCCAACCGGCCAGTTTGAAGTCTGGAGTGAGAGGATTGCGCGCGATGGTAAGGGCGACGCTGTAGCGCAGCGCCTCGTGGTAGATGGATGTCAACAGCGGCTTACTGCACAGGGCGGCGATGTCGAACGAGCCTGTCTCGGAGTCAAAACAGCTCGACGTCTCAGCCATCACGCGAGCGGGCAATCCGGGCGTTAGGTATATGTTGAGCAGCGCCCATAGAGTCGCGGGGATTACGTTGGCATTGGTCGCCCACAACATACCCAGGTCCAGCGAGGCACGCGCATCGTCTGACAGCTCGGACTTGGTGAACATGATCTCACGGGCGCGCATGATCTTGGCGCCCCAGAGAGGTTCATACTCGGCGTTGGCGAGCTCCTCATTTTGGCTGTCAAATTTCTCTGAGGCATTCTTTCGCCACCGCTTCACAGACGCGAGCGCTTCGTCACGGATGCGCCAGGCCTTGGGTGACATCCAACGAGGCAACCGGCGGAGATAAGTAATCATCTTGCTGTCAAAGTCCCAGAACTGGCGCGCAAAGTCGGGGCTCAACCGAAATATATGCTCTCCACATAGGGACTCGGTAGCGGCGTGGAACATCTCGTTTCGCAGGAAGCCGTACAAGTCTGGCAGCTCGGCCCATTCATCGCTTGACTTGGGAATCTCGGACGTCTTATCCAGCCTGCCGGTGTATTTGGCGACGAATCTGCTCGTCATTTCGTCGAGTGATACGCCGCTCAACAATAAGTGGAGGTCACGGTGCTGGATGTGGAAAATACGGTGATCGGGGTTGTAGTCCTCGAAGCCCTCTGCGGGCTTGGAACTGATGCCCGAACCGTCTCGGAAGAAAACCGCCAGGTCTTTCACAGCTATGCCAAACGAATCGCGGAGCGCCACAATGGTGAGAGGTTTGGCCGTCATGTCGCGCGAGTTCTTGAACATTTCCAACACTGGCTGGCCATGAGGGACGTAGTAGAGCTTGTCGGCACCTACGAGGACTGCAAAAGGCGTTTCCCCAAAGCGCTTACTTCACGGCACAACAGAACAGACCAGCAGGTCAGTCTCTGATGCTCATGGGGCTGAGAACATATTTGGGTTTACTCACAGCATCCTGCGAAGGAAGCCCTCGGTGTCGGTCGCGAAGGCGACTGTGTTTCCCAGGACAGGGACCGTATAGGGCGCGGGCGGTGGTTGGTGCTCGCCATTTTTGCTGCCCGCTCTTTTGATCCAGCGTGCCTTGACGGTTGTGAAGACGAAAGTAAGGATGAACGGCAAGGCGACCAACGACGCGAATGTGAGACGCTGGTCCAACCACGACAGCCGCATGAACGACTGCGACAGTTCGTTCAAAGCCATTCTGGGAGGCGGTCAATTGAATGGACGAAAACAACAATTGACTATGCACAAAAACACCATCGTCTTTTCGACTGCTCAATGGATACCGTTCGCGATCCGAGGGCAGCAGGCGAAGGGGGGATTAGATGAGAGGATTTGGATGCCCTCCAGACTCAGCCGCGCGGGCCTGTCCTGTTCTCTCTCAACCTTCTAGGGTGTGAAGCGCCCCTGTCTTGCCTGGCCAACCAGCCGGCAGCAATTCCGTCTGACTGCATCCTCCGAAGCTGATGGTGTTGGTTCTTTCGTTTTACTCCATACGAACATGGCACATATGCTCTTTGTGGGTATTGTGCGCCCCTGGATTGGGATATTCCCACGAAACGAACACGAAACATTCCGCTCAGATTTTGGCGCTATCGCTGATGTTGGTCCCGCCGTTTTTTAAATAACACCGCTATCTGCCCAACGTCTTTATTCACACGATCCACCAGCATTTCATGCTTGTTCCTTCGCCTTTGCAAGGACAGCACCCCGGATCGCCTCGCCGAGGTCAGGGGAGACACGCGAAAACATTTCTAGCTCTAGGTTAGCATCTGCTCCAACAAACAGTCCAAGGCCGAGAACGAAGGATGCAAATAAGATCAGCTCACCAAATACGCCCTCCCAAAGTTCCGGAGCTGCCCCCACCAAATTTCCTGCAATATTGCTTACAAAGCTCTCCTGCTGGCCCGGCTGCTTGCCGAGAACATCGTTCCAAAAGGCACGCGGCTGCACGAAATCCTCATCGGTCACCTCACTCGAGTAGCCAAGGATAGTCCCGTTGACCCAGGCGTCGTGCGCGCCGCCAACAGCGAAACCTGGCGCGCCGTCCCGCACCGACGTCGAGAACGACACTGGCTTCAGCGACGAGCGCACGTAGTTTGGGTCGCCCCCATAGTTGCCGTTGATGGCGCCGAAGCCGTCGCGCTGGTATGGGCTGTAGACGGGTGCGATGGGCCGATTGCACGGGAGTTGCTGGTAGTTGACGCCCAGGCGGTAGCGGGCCGCATCCGGGTACGCGAACATGCGTGCTTGGAGAACTAGGGGAGGGAAAGAGTAAGTATTTGGTGCCGCTGACCAGATGTAAGAAAGGCTTGTTACGCACCAGGATCAGCAGAGGGGGCAATGCCAGGAACGTTGGTGGAGGGGGAAAAGGCCGCCTGTTCGATGTCGGCAAAGTAGTTGGAGGGCTATTCGGCATCTCGTCAGCAGTTGATCCACGTCAGCAGCACTCCCCGGAGACACATACGTTCTTGTTGAAGGTGAGCTTTCCCACCTGGATCAGGGGGAAGTCTGCGTGTGGCCACACCTGGGTCAAGTCAAAGACGTTCCATCGGTACGTCTCAGCCTGCTCGGGTGTCATGGCCTGGATGTATAGCGTCCACGACGGGAAGTTACCCGTCTCGATGGCATCGTACAGATCTCTTGTGTGGTTATCCGGATCCACGCCAGTCAGATGCGTAGCCTCGGCGGCAGTGTTCGTGGCGTTACCTTGGTTCGAGATGAAGTGGAACTTGACGTACACAAAGCTGCCATCCTTGTTGACTAGCTTGTATGTGTGTTGGCTGTAGCCGTTGGTGTGGCGGACCGACTTGGGAGTGCCGCGCTCAGAGAAGAGGTGCATGAGGGCGTGGATGCTCTCCTGGTTGTTGACATGGAAGTCCCAAAACATACTGGCGTCGGGCAAGTTGGTGGCCGGGTGGCGCTTGTGGGACCGATTCAACGAAGGAAACTTGACGGGGTCCCGGATAAAGAAGACGGGGATGTTGTTGAAGACAAAGTCCTGGTTGCCCTCCTCGGTGAAGATCTTGAGCGCCCACCCACGCACATCGCGCACGCAATCAGCACCGCCCCGCTCCAAACCGACGGTCGAGATACGCGCCAGCGTCTTGCTCTTGGTGCCGATGCCTGTGAGGAATTGGGCCGACGTCAGGTGCGAGATGTCGTGGGTGACCTCGAACTCGCCCCAAGCGCCGACGGCACGCGCGTGGACAACGCGCTCCGGAATACGCTCGCGGTTGAAGTGTGCCAGCGTCTCTATGAGCTGGGTGTCCTGGAGGAGCATCAGCCCCTTGACAGGCCGGCCGTCGGTGAAGCTCTGGACGCTGGTAGCGTCAGCATAGGGGGAGCCTGGTATATGTGTGTTAGCATATGGACTGACGCTTTGTCTTGGCGGCATGCTGTACCTTCGGCCAATGTGTACACTGGGGTCTTGGTAACCGGTACGGAGCCCATGACTGCGGGTTCGTGAGGTCTGGCTGAGGTGGAACCTTCTAGTTATGTCAAAGGGAGGTAAGTATGCGATTTGGCGTCGAGGTGTCTGTTGACTGATGATCTGAGTGGACGCTGCGGAGCGAAGAAAAGACAAGCTGTGAAAGTCAAGTCCCGATGCATTGTCGACATGAGCTGCGCTGCTTCTTATAAGTCACGCTGATGTATTTCATCGTCTTGGGCGAATACCTGTCAGCCCCAAGCCAGCCTCAGTACTCAACTCCACTGCTAATCTGTGTATGCATGTAAGCCACACTCGACTCAGGAGGCTCAGAATTACACAACCTCCCTCGTGAGTGCCCATTCCCATCCGATTCTGGCATGAACCACGAATCTTTTGCTGGTGGTGGCCTGTGGGTGGTAATTCCCGAGTCTGCGATTCACCGGGTATGTTCGGCGTCGATCCCGAGATTCACCACCGAACTACGAGGCCGACGTGTTTGGTCGCGGACATTTTTTTTGGTATCCAGGCATTTGCACTTCCTACCTTACGTTTCGCCACAAAAAACGGCCGCTAGGAACTTTTCCGTTAGGGGATTGTTGACCTGAATAAGCTCCCGTCCCCCCCTGCCTTATTCGGCGGGCCCTCGGCATCCCCAAGGGCATACTGCGGCTTACGGGCGGCATTTGCGTC